AGTGGAATCATATGGCCAGCTGAACTGAGTGTATGCCATGACACTTGACAAAAAAGGGTTAACGTGCAACTGGCATTGAACACACAATTTTTTGAGATATGTGATGATGCATCTTTGAATTAATGGTGAATATATCAGGCACTAAATATCTTAATTCTAAAGAAAGTACACAAATTTATTTTAGACATTAGAAGTAGAATTACCTACATTATTTACCAACTGACCAACCCAAATGTTTCTTACAAAATCAAATTCAGGAGAAAAACAAAGAGAGGTGACAAGCTAAGAAGAAGCTGATATAAACAAAAGCTGCCTTCTACAGAGTATAACTCAAAGTACTACTGAGAGTCAGTATTTAGTATCTAATTACATAGAGAAAGAAGATTAGAGCATATAATCTCTATCCTTGTGTAATGATAAAACATTGTATGATACAATACAGTAAAATTTTCTGTCAAATTTCAATAAATTCAGAGATGTTTGAAGTGTTAAACAACATCAAATTAAATGTACATCATGAGATTTTAAGGTCTCAGCTCTGAAGATGGAGGTAGTATATCCATCCTTAGCATTAGTATCTACCTGCAAGTTCATATGGTGTTAACTACCCAGAAGACCAACACTCATAAATAAACTTAATTTCTTACTCATGCATATGGTATGGAAAATTATGTAATTACGTATGTTACATCTTACAGCGCTAATTCAGTGAATGTTAGAAAAATACTGTACTTCAGAACTGGCACTTTTAAAGGGTTCTTTGTTATGCAGTCACAACACTGAATAAATTCTGAACATAAAAAGACCAGTATGATCCTAATGCTTCCAACATCTTTGTACATAACCAGATTCAAATCAGAAAATTACTGATCATTTTATTTTCTTTGCATATTGCATTTGCTTTAAGATGATAACAATATCACCAGACTCAATAAACTGGGCACTGATCTCAATACCACCTCCAAATATTAGGAGACAGGATGTTAATTTTAAAAAGTAAACCTTAAAATATGCATTGTCTTCACACAACAATGAAAGGTAACTTTGAATAACAAGCTCGCTGTAATTTTTCAGAGTATGATATGCTACAAAATTCAATAGGTTTTAATGTCATAATAAAAATTCAGGCATGTGTACAAAGCATCATTCAGCATGTATTAAGAGCAAGATGTATTCTATAATTACAACATTTAATACTTTTCTTTTGATTGACAATATATTTTGAACAGAATGGCTTTCAGGTTTACTTTTGGCTGAAAATGTGGCTTGCATGACAAAGCCATTACCAACACTCCAATAAATACTGTGTACCACAATGAAAATTATGATTATGTTAACCTGGTACACAATATTTGTTGAGCCCTGGTTATTATCTTTGTGCTCACAAGGGTCAATAATTTTCAGGTTAGAAACCTCTAAACTTGAAATGAAAGATGCTTCCTGCTTACCACATTGTTGCATAGCTTCCTGTTTTCGTTCTTCTCTGCGGAGCCAAATTGGTTTTGGGCGATTGTTTGTCTGGTACTTGGGAGATGTGGACTGCTTCTGCAGCCCATCAGACAATCTGTTCTCTAAGACTGTAGTTTCCCCAGCACCAAAGTTTACTCTGGTGGAGTATCCCCGGGTTTCTAAAGCAGCATGCTTCAAGTCTTCCACCTGACGGACTCTCTCTGCAACAGACCATGGAGGAGCCATGGAGATTTTCACTTCCATGCCACCCCCAATAGATTCTGGGGGCTGAGTTTTGGACACAAGTGGTGCTTCAAAGGCATCACCAGCAGAATTTCTCTGAAAAGCTGGTTGAAGGGTCTTGAGTGGTTTGTTGAGCTCTGTCCCCTCCCCAAAGCTTTGTGAGGATGGAAGCCTCTTATCCTGCAGTGTTGGTAATGAAGGGCAATCCTGCTGCTTCTGACCATCAAAAGTTGGGTTACGTAGTGTGACTGTTGACTTCCACACAGATGTAGAGGGCAATGATAATTCTTTGTTCTGTACAGGCTTAAGTCTCACACCCCATTTTGCCTCAGGATCTGCAGTTGACCTCTCAGACTTCTCACTTAAGCTTGACACCAATATATCTTCATCTGTCTCACCTAAGTGGAATGGATGTGGTTTTTTATTGTTTTTCAATATACTACGAGGCCTCACGTTACTTACAGAACCTGAAATAATGGAATTTGACTGCAAGAATATAGAATCAGTGCTGATGTCTTCATCATTACTATGGGCTCCCATTTCCACAGCATCCTGCCTCCCTGATGAAAGAATAGTGGCATTTGCCTGTGTGAAAATGTTATCTTCTTTATCTGCATCATCTTGAAAGACAGAAACAGAATTTAAAGCAGGCATAATCGGTTCTAGTTGATCTAAATTGCTTTTATTTTGATTTTGAGTGTCTGCACTGACAGCTATCTGGTAGGAAGTGTTGTTAGACTCATTTCCACCAAGTAGTTTCTTTTCATACAGTGAATCACCAAAGCGAATTTCTGGAAGGCTGGTCTTATTGGCATCTTGTACCTGATGAGTAACTAAAACTGCACCACCACTACTACTACTACGCCTTCTTCTCCTGATGTTATTTGGTGGAGGTTTCTCATCTGTTTCAACAATGTTAAAACGTCCTGGTTCTGCAGCAAAGTGGACCTCAGTCTTGCAGAACTCTACCTTCTTATGTTTCTTGCCTGCCAGATGATGCTGAAGCAAAAATTCATCACAGTCATCATTTTCATAGGTAAATGAAGCAGATTTAAAATCTCTGCCATCCTGAG